AACCGGTTTTAACCGGTTTCTAATTTTTATAAAAATATTTTTTGCTCGAATATTCTGTAACTCGAACAAAAAATTTTAACAGAAAATTTAGAGTGATTAAAAGCAGTTTTTGCCTGAAATTATTTACTGTTTAATTTTATTGATAGTACATTTTTTTATGCAATTTAGTAGAACAAAGAAATAATAGTTGACTGGGATTAAATAACTTTAAAAACAATAATTCGTTGTTTATGCATAATTTTCACATATAAGGATGTAAATATTTTTATAATAGTGAAACGAGTTATTCAGCAAAGGGTTCGAATAAATAAAAACAATATATTTTCATATTTTTATAATAACCGTAGATACTTTTTTTTTAAAAAACAATGTTATTAGATACAGATGGATACTTATTAAAAACAATTAGAAAATATACAACTGTGTATTATATAATGTAAATTATAATCAAAGCCGAAAGACAAGAGTAAATAAAGTTTATGCATACATACTTATTAAAATCATTTTTAGTTTTAAAGACAATTAAGCAAAGGACCAAGTATTTTCTATTCCGGGCAATTTTAATACAAATTTAAATATTCTATTTATTTTTTTGTTTAATGAAATATGATTTCAGAAAACAGAGGACGTCTATCGATTTGCTATTTAGCCGTGTCCTTAGTTTATTCACAAAATTCCCCGAAATAGAAAATACCCTCTCACTTGCGACCGAACTAGGCTTAATCGTTTTTAAAGCCTCATATAATAATCCTAAATTTTTTGTCCTTTTATTTGTGGCTTCTAGGGCCAAAAACTCTTTTCTTAGAGTTTGAGTAGAGGAAGTCACTTCTTCCGGTTCCTTTAAATAAAAACTATCAAACTGATATAAAATCTAAATTAATTCATTCAATAGACAAAACACACCGTTTGTATCGGTCCGATATGATTCCAAGAACCAAACCGCTTGCAACAGTGTTTTCATCAGTCTGATACATTTGGCTACATTTGCCATTTTCTAATTTTTAAGTGTTATTCATACATTGAAAACCGATATTTTCTACTAAAAAACCGGTTTTCGAATTTTATAATTTTCTCCAAAAAAACGGTTTTTGAAACCGGTTTTTAAAAACCGACAAACCCTAGTAACCACGTAATCAAACAAAACAAAAAGTTCATGTTGGTCAGTTTTCTGTCGAAATCGTTAGACGTGAAAGACGATTTCGATCCCATCAGATCTTGTCTTTGATGCATCATACCTTCCTTGATTTTTCAAGCACAGTCAAAGCCAAGCAAAGTTGACATATGTACAAATCTATTGTTTTTTTACCATATAGTCCACATTTTCTTTCTTCATTTATTAGATCTTGTCACATCTTATCGTAAAACATTACTATTTTATGTTATTTCCAATTTCTTTTTCCTTTACAGTTCTTTAAATGCATTTCTGTCTCACAATCCTCTTGTATAATCGCCTTAGCAGGCTATAAGACTGTTATTTTATCCTGCTATATCTGGCTTGATATGTTTTTGCTTATTTCTTCTGCTTCTACCCAAATCTGTTTTTCTTGCGTCAGCTTAATACTCGCATCATAAATGTTTTTTACTTGATAACGCGCAAAAAGCACCGATCCACGTGAGGGAAGCGGCCTACTAAAGAAAACAGTAGTACAATAAAAAGGGAGTCATAGTATAAAGAAGAAAAATCTCAAAGGGTGGTCCCAGGGTGCCTGAGCATCTCCTGATTCATGGGGGGACTCTCCTGACTCACCCATCAAAAACCCAAGTTTATTAAAACCCTCTTAACTAAAATAAACGAATTGCTATACGTTAAATGAGAAAAAATGGTAGCTATTTTTTGTAACTAATTTGACTCACTTGAGATTTGAGGGCACCCTCTCGCAAATTAGAGCTTTAGGGTTTTATTTGTTAAATTTAATTGAATCCTATTATTATTGGCTACTTTTAGCAGCTTATTAACTTCATATTATGCTTTGTTAATCCTCTTAGATTAAACCCTCATATAAATTACGATAAAACCTCTATATGAAGAGAACAAAATTGAAATCCGTAAGTATTTCGTACTAATTTATATATTTTGAAAACCTCACGTACTCATCCAGATCTCTAAAACGCAAAATGTGATTCTAAATATACAGATATCTAAATGATGGAACCGAAAAAATTGTTTGCAGGATTTGTAGCAAATATGCAACAAAACGAGCTAAATAAATATGTAAAAAGAAATAAATGGAATACATGGTATCATCTATCATTTAGGAGACAAATGACTGAAAGGAAGGGTCCTTTGAAGTCGGAGGTATCCTTCATGTTATGTCAATGTTATATTCATGTTATATTCCCGTTAGTATGTAATTACAGAAAACTATTAGTAAAAATGAAACCATTTAATGAATCATTATGAAAGTTAATAGTAATATATTCGAATGGCCAACGAATCCCTGGAAAATGTAATCGTAAAATAAATAAAAATCAACGGATAGATACAAGTTCAAAGTAAAATAGCTGATTATTGAATAAAGATTTTAGATTTATGAAAATAGAAAATGGTTCCACCTACATTGTAGATAATGATCTCCTTTTCGAAAAGTATATTTTATTAAAAGTTGATTAAATTTTGAAATGGACCTCGTATTTATGGCGTGTATTATTTACGGCGTTATTATGCACAATATTTTACATACTAGTCAAAACATGGCATAACATCGGTGGTTGTTAGAGGAGGGTTACGGTTGGACGGGGAGCGATCCAATTACCGTAACTGAAACCTGATGCAAGATCAAGATTTCGTTGTTGGTTTGATAGCTTATGATAACGAAACAGTTCTCATTGATCCGACGTTTTGCATGCTTTCTTTTCTAAAAAATTAACGAGCGCAAAGGTCGATAAAGACCAGCCAGTGGCGTCGATACAAAATGGAATTACCTTTTTAAGCATTCATTCGGTCATTAAATCAAATAAAAGAGGTTTATAGTACGAATCTAGAGGCATAAACTGATAAACTTCAATGATACAGTTCAATGAAGTTTGTTTGCACCGAATACAAAACAGACCTATATTAATTCCTTACAATTGGTTACTAAATGTACCTACAAAAGCATAATACAAATCTATAATTCATTATAATATAAGGAATACATTCTTTTAATTAAAAGGGAGAATTTAATGCATAATTGTTTTCAACCAACTTTAAAAGAAGAGGTTCTCAATTGGACTGTATTTGTTTTTATTTTATTTTTATATTGCGCGATTTTTTGATCGATTGTGAATCAATGTTAAAGATTTCTTTTATTTGAGGCCTGTGGCTTCCTTGGACCAATTACGAAAATGCCGAGGTAGTAATATGCGACTCCTCTTCTGTCTTTATTTCACCAGTTTCATCGTTCTGTCTCCAACCACCGCCCACTCATCCCCACAATTACTGTAAGGGGGCTGAAAAGGGCTTCCATGCTACCCACCGGCTTTATAGTGCAGGTTGGAGAAACTGTCCGCCCACCAACTATTAATTATAAAATATAATTGTGTGAAACCCCAACCTCGCAGCGTAACGTAATATATTATCACCTTCTCTTAATTATTTGCTGTCTAATTAACACTTCTATTATTAAGCAGTTATCAGTTCACCACTATATGAACACGTTGTTACTTTTTCGCTTTGTATCGCCTCGAATTGGTTTTCGTACTAACTATTCGATCTCGTCTCAATCAGTAAAGGCTGACCGTGTTCTAGAATGATTCTGTATATACCGTCTAGAAACCTGGTCTTCTTTGCCGCTATGTATGTTGGGTTGCCGACATACAAGTGACAATTTCAAAAGCCCCATAGGTATTTTATTATAATAATTTTATAATAAGTACTGTATACTTAGCCTAGCACGCACTCGAAACTTATATCCGGTACTGACTATAATATACATAATCAGGTGCAACTCGGTTCAATTATTCACTATTCATGGTACAGCTTCAAGAAAACAATTAATTTCACCCGCGTTAAGAGAATAGATCTTAGCTTAAGGGAAACCAATATTTTATCTATTCATCTTGTTGGCCCAAAAAGGTCGACGCCACTGTATCTCATCGTACTTACTCCTTCTCCCCATTTGACGTGCTACTTACCCCCTCTTTAGGCTCGTTTTCCTCCGCGAACGCTCATTAATCATTATTAGCATGGAAGCAGCTTTTTCACGGCCATATATTTTCCGATAGTTTCGTCGACTACCATTTTACATGCATGCACGACAAGGCTCTCCGCTCGGCAATGCAAAAGCTGTGATTTACAGTTTCGTTTGATACCCATTTCTGATATTTTCTTATCGTGATAAAATACACGGCATCACGCACAAATCATCATAACGTACGATTAACTATTCAACGAGCACTACAGCATATTAAGCATTAAAAAAATAAAACAACGTAATTTGCTACAGAATAAATGCTGTCCTTATTTTACTAAAAAGGTGTCTTTGTATTCATGTTGTGATTAGTATGGGAATCGATTTGAAATTCAGGTAATTATATGATGCACGAGTCAATGACGTAGAGGAGGATCGCAAAGCGTTGGGGTCCAAGGAGGCTTGCTATACTCCATAACCCCAACGTGTTAACAATGATATGATCTAGAAAAGATCTCATAACGTTCTGCCAAGTCGTTTTTTGTTTAAACCTAGAAGTCTACACAGATATAGAAGTAACAGTCAGGGAATAGGTCGCAAAGGCATAAATATCTAATAAAGAGTAGAAAGCACAAGAGTTGTTGCGCGATGAGTGACTGCGCATTGACTTGGGAATTTCCTGATAAATATTTATTTAATGTTTTATACTGGGAAGTTAGTCGTGTGGACCTCAAGAATGTTCTTGTTGATTATTTGAAAATATAGATTACAGATTTGTCGTATTCCAAATTCTTTACAACGATCCAAAGTTGCTCTAATCTGTCTGCCCTTTCCTTAAGAATCAGATGGACGGTCTTAATTACGATAATGTACTTTTTTGTTTTGTTTCAGAGAGACTCCCTGACGTTGGAGCCGAGTAACGTGGCCAACTGCGTGTCCAAGGGCAAATCAGAGGTAAGTGCATCACACCATTACGAGAATGGTCATCCACTTAGTTTTATGTATATCGAACCCCATTCCCTTTACTACTGTGCTAAGTAGTAGCGATTATTTATAGTGAGTACCGAGTGATGTATTAGTGGAAGATACCAAATTTTTGCTTCTAGTACAAGCACCCGTAAATATAGTAACCTCCTTTTCTCTTTTGTAAAGTCTCATCGAAATCGATTCAGCCGTTTCCAAGATTAGCTCATACAAACAGACGGACGGGCAAAAAGTAGTCTAAATTACTCCTGGAAACCTCTTCATTATGTCTACAAGCTCCCATGAAATCAGTTTATCCGTTTTAGAGATACAGACACATAAATATTAGATTGAGAAATTGTATTATTTTTAGATCAATTACTCAGTAAAAGACTTTATTTATTAATAATGTACTCGTTTTCGAATCCATCGTACTGGTTGGACACGTACCTCCACTCTTTCCTATCCTGAGCTAAACTTTGCATTTCCCTAAAACAGCCCACATCCTTAACTATTTGCGAACAGTAATCTAATCTAGGTCTACCTCTACCCCTTCTAACTCCTGTTTCTGCCTCTAATATGTCTCTGAGTACACCTTCGTGCCTAAGAAGGTGTCCTACCAACCTATCTCGCCTATTTTTTATTGACTTCATTACAGTCCTCTGTTCTCCTATTCTTTCCAATACCTCTTCATTTCTAACCTTTTCTACCCACGATATCCTTATCAACCGCCTATAACACCACATTTTGAACGCTTCTAACCTTTTCTTTTCCGCCGCGTCCACTGTCCATGTTTCGCACTCGTACAATGCCGTGCTCCAAACATACACCTTTAACAACCTTTTTCGAATTTCTAAATTAACCGTTCGCGAGCATAGAAGTGACTTCTTTTTATTAAAGGCGACACGACCCTGCGCTATCCTCTGCTTTATATCCTTATTACTCCTTCCATCCTGACTTATCTGACTTCCTAGGTATCTAAAATCAGCCACTTCTTCTAATTTTTCGTCTCCTGTCTTTATATTCGCCCTTTCCCTACTTTTTCTTCCCTTGCATACCAGTATTTTAGTTTTACTTTTATTTATTTTGATACAGTATTGATATGTCAGTACCGCTTCCATTTTATTTAAAGCTATCTCTAGGTCCTCCTTGCTAGATGCTAATACTGTATATCATCTGCAAATCTAGGCATACTAATCTTTAGCCCCTGTATATCTATCCCTACAATTGTACCGTCTTTAATGATGTTGATGGCGTCTTCGATGTATAGATTAAAAAGTAGCGGTGGTAGTGTGCATCCCTGTCTGACTCCCTTCCTAATATTTACTTCTCTACGATGCATCCCTAGCTCTATAATTGCCTGTTGCTCTTTATACAAACTAAGTATCACATTTCTATCTTTGTAACTCATCCCTGTATTTTTAAGTATATTTAACATCTTGTCCCATTTAACATTGTCAAAAGCTTTCTCTAAATCTACAAATCCTATGTACGCACACTTTCATTTTTCTATCGTTTTCTCTATTGTTACCCGTAAAGCTAGAATGGCCTCCCGCGTTCCTCTATTTCTTCTAAACCCAAATTGATCTTCCCCTAATAGTTCTTCCGCCCTTTTTTCCATCCTCCTCTGTACAATTCTAGTTAAGATTTTTGACGCATGGGAAGTTAAGCTAATTCTTCGAAATGTCTCGCACCTATCCGCGCCCCTCTTCTTAGGTAGTGTTACTATTTAGAAAAAATCATAAAATTTCTCTTTCCAAAATCTACTAGCTATAAGTGGGATTTCTATACTTGAACAATCTGCTAAACAACATTACATCACAAACATTATATTGAACACAAACGTATGCTGTTTTAATTAACTAAAATTTTATGGAACAGTTCATATTTTCATAAGCCCTATATGTATTTAATATGAGGTCAAGGATAACAAATCATTTTTCAATCGTTGTTTTCCAGTGACTTCATCTCTCGACACACTGAAGATTTTAGAAGCGGCGGAAAACCTTTTAAAACACATTTATCAACTGTTTGTCTGACAAGTCCCATTGAATTAAACGTCTCGTTTAGTTTTTAATATTCATAGAATTGACCCAAGCCATTTGGGCCGCTTAGAGTCTTGACGGTTAACGTCGACGTCGTCATTTATCAGTCAGTCGTACTCCCTCTTAAAACATCCATCCAAAAATTCGTATTTCATATCCTGAATAAATCTCGACAAACATTGGCAAATTAAAAAGCAAAATGTAAAATCTGTGGAATATAATTTCCGTTTAAAGATGTTATTACAAAAAACAATTCCATTACGCTTTTTCAAAGCAAATTGCAAGTTACTGATCCTTCCCAATGATGCCAGATTTGGGGAATTTTCTCTAGTTATATAAGAAAAAGGACCTTATCTAAAGTCCGTTCATTTTCAAGGTAAACTAAATGTAAACACAATCACGTACCATTTTTATTTATTATCGAAAACTAGAAACCAAACGGGGCCGTATTTGAAATTAAAGATACTAAAAAAACTACTAATTGAAAACTAAATTAATTGCTTATAATATATACATATTTATTTTATCAATGAGTGTTGTAATATTTATTGATTTCTTTACATAAAACTATGATAATGACTGATTGCACCTTGAAAATTTTGCTAAGTGTGTATCTGTTATGGATTAAAATTGATGTTTCCCAGAATCTTCCAGTGATTTTCAATGAATCCCAGCATTCCCCGAAGCACTGTTGAAGAAACGCTTCTTGACTGACAAATATTTACATACATCATCGAAAAACTGCATGTTCTTTTTTCGTACCGCCTGTGAGAAACAATAAAATAGCTATACTTAAGAACTACGACTCAGATGAAAAATCGAAGAACCATACGTCGTTCTTAGAATTTGGTTATTTTTCAAATAACATCTCACTTTAATTGGATTTTTTTGAATTTTTATTTTTCTTTTTCAACTGTTTGAAATGCGTTTTTCGTAAAATCCGTTCTTGATGCGCCCTATATTTGCTGTCAAAATTTCATCTAAACCGATGGAGTAGTTTTGGCTATGGTTGAACGGTTAGTAAGAATAAACTCTTTTATAAGTGTATAGAAATTTTCTATATTACGGATGAGTTCGGTGTACTATTATCATTTTTAAATTGATTTGTACAAATTATATCGATGACGAAAAAGTAATCTTTTAATAATTTTACTGTAGTTTTGCTAACCCATTTACTTTAATTATCAGCTTCATAGTACCATCACCGTCACGTTATTCCAAAGTCTGGTTTGAATACTCACCTTCATTCCCTATCCTGATTCAATATTTACACATTCGTGAAAGCTGAACACATTGGATTTTCTTGATAATTTCTAATTTTTCTAGAAAGTTCTCGAATTTCTTTTGTTACGCTGTCATATATGTGTCGTTCGGGAATCTACGAACGTAAGCATCACGTCGACAAAGTGCCGATGTTATCGATCGGTGTTTTTCGTCGTCGTTACAAAGAGCATCACCGCTGCTGCAATGTTCATGATTGTATATGGGTTATGCCCGTGATAATGTACAGATTCCCAAGGCTATACGAATTTGTATTCGTTTTATGTTCAATTGTATTGAACCTTTGCATCTACTGGTATATTATCGTATACATTCGATCCTGGTGACAACAGCTTCCAAAAGAAACCGAATAGGCTGTATACACTTCTAATAATATTTTTCGAATTTCTGGTTTAAACGTTCGCCAGCACAGAGGTGATTTCTTTGTACTTACCATATTAGATAATTGAAGTTCAGTAATGTTCTATTCAGATAAATATTCACAATTACGGCGTTCTTGATATCAAATAGCATTATATCTTCCAAATCTTTAAACCACAAGTAAATCAAAATGATGTCAAGAAACATAATATGTAAACAAAAAATATATCTTACAATTCCATTTCCAAAAATATATTTGAAACATCGATCGTTAATATTATAAAATTCAATGGATCTAAAACAGACGGCTATTAATTATAAACCATGTAGACTAATGGATTTTTGGAACGACGGATAAACCCTGTTCACGATTAAATTGTTTAAATGATTTCCTTTGTCGATTACGAACTAATTGATGTGTAAATGTGAAGGACAAAGTGTATGCATGCATTTTAATATGATATTATGTACTTGTTCATTGGTCAGAGGAATTTTGCTGGCGAGCTTTTAAAGCGGTCTCGCGAGAATTCATAATCGATTTAACTAGAATTTTGCGTAGATATGAATCCGCCGCTTGTCTAATTTACGGCGAAATATTCCATTTAGGTTCCCTACTGAAGAGGGTATGCAGTTTGCGCACATATTAATTAAATTTGTGTCAAAATCTGCTGTGAAATATTACAGACCTCTTTGAAATCTCGATCGGCGGATCGAGCCGCACCAACAAAACAGTAGGTAATATCGTCAATGATACCTACCTCAACTCGCAGTTTTAAGCTTCCNGAAGAGGGTATGCAGTTTGCGCACATATTAATTAAATTTGTGTCAAAATCTGCTGTGAAATATTACAGACCTCTTTGAAATCTCGATCGGCGGATCGAGCCGCACCAACAAAACAGTAGGTAATATCGTCAATGATACCTACCTCAACTCGCAGTTTTAAGCTTCCTATTTCAATGGTCCGAATTGGACAAAATTTTACGAAACATAACTCTCCACAGTTTCAATAATTAATTAATTACTCTTTCAGACGGCACAATAATTCCAATTTGAAACTGCTTTCAGTTTTTATGGCTAATAAATGCGTGATTTTACATAAATTTCCGGTTTAGCTATATCAACTGGATACGTGCTATAATTTTTATTAGCAATTGACGAGATGGAAGAGATAAAGACATAGTAATTGTGCAGTTGATGGGGCCCCGTCAAAAAGAGAAACAAATGTGAAGAAAATACTTTTAGACTAATAAACAAGTTAGGTGGAGGTGCAAGAGGTGGAAGTGAAAAATGGAAATTGTGGATTAT